TCTTCGTACATATTAACGACAAGGCTGGATATTGCAAAACATTTATGCTGTATTTAGGGCTGTTTCTAAGAAATTTTCCTGCCAAATGGCTTAAACTCTACTTCTACACATGGAACTCTCTCCATTGGTCTATATGTTCTATAAAAGACGGAAAACCAGGAACAATTTCTAAAGGACATACTACAAAGCTCTCGCTAATCTTCGAAGAAGGGCACGAAAAGCAGTTTGCTAGGAGCAGGAGCGTATGATTTGTTGTTTTAGTTGGAAATAAGATTTTCATTTTTTACTTGGCTTTCAACTTTTTCCATAGCTTGAGGAAGTTCAAGAAATGTGACAAAGCGATGATGGTAGTTTTGATAGTGTTGCTGCTAATCAAGAAAGAGCAATAGACTCAGGGATGGAAATAATGTCTTGTAATGTCTTCTTGCAATTGGATCGATAGATTGAAACAAATAAATTTTCAAGCACTCAGGCTCGACGGAAAACTGTAACAAGGGAAATCTTATTAGTTAAACTGAAAATATTATGATTACCAGTTCTCCTTATCTACCTCATCGCCCCACATTTCAAAGTTGAGTTTGATCTACAGCCGTGAAAGGCATAAATAGATGACAACGTTAAGTCATGCTAGAACCATGTCATTGAAGGGATAAGTACGGCTTAGCCTCTCTAAGAATGTTAGTGGAAAAATTGACTAATCAAATATCACGATACATACATGCAGGAATTTCGAGAACCTCTGAATCAACGAATCCACAAAAACATTTGGACGTTTTATTCTCCATTTTGGATTCAGAAATCCAAGCCTTTCGTAAAAACTTAACTGTTTACAATTCTTACCTCTATATTGATCTGATCCAAAAGCGTGCTGAGATCAACGATGTTCACTGCCCAATCCACGGCTGCTCTGGACAGGGAGGATTGTACCAACCCTCGGGCAATAGTCACATTTGCATTCAATTGCGTGAACGTTACATTAGATTCTAAATTGGTAGTCATTGGCATAATTGTAAAGTGAGGTGTTAAAAATTTTGGCATACCATTGCGAAAAAGTTTTAAAGAGCGTGCATCCCATCTAGCAGAATGATTCCACCTCTGCGTTTCACATTCTCTTACGTGGATGTCATTAGCTCCACCAAATGTTCGATATATGGATGCCATTTCGTAAACCGATTTAATTATCATATCATGATTCTAAAACATCTCTTCTGCCAAGCTATTGTAGAATGACATAAAAGAGTGTATGATCTGTAATACCTAATGTCAATCTCATAAAACAAGTGATTGCTTTATGGCAGATGGTCTAAACAATTGTCAAGACAAGAACAAAGTAACCACATTTTTGAAGATTCTGCTATCCACAGTAAACTCGGATAGTATTATGAAAAATATAGTTAGTGATTATGTTCACAAGTTGCTGTTAAAGTCACAGAAAAATGCAAGAAATTGTTAGTAGGCAGTAGGCACCTAAGCTCTTTGCTGCAAAGGACTAATGAATTTCGTCTCTGCATTTAGATGTCTAGAAGTT